GAATTTCTTGCAGGTGCAAGAGGTTTTCGACGTCGCTTGTTCTTGTGAGTGGTTTTAAACCAGGATGAAATGGTTTGTTGCTATTTCTGACGTCCAGTGTGGACTCATCCAAATCAGATTCTGCGACGAGTTCGCACCAGTACTTCCATAGCCACTGTATATATACACTGTTACTGTTGTGCAGCGGCCAAGTCTTACGATCCTCCCTATCTAAATTTGGGTCGGATAAGCATAACAAGTTTGACTCATTTCGTGGACCTGGGGAACGCTTTGGAGCTCTGAACGGACCTCTTGCTGGATTCCAAGTCGACTGCAAACCTGGAATTGAGAGAGGGCCTCTCTTCATTTCGTTATCCAAATTCAAGTCTGATTTGGAAGGTTCATCCTTATCTTTGTTCACATTCTCGCTGATTTGCGAATCTGAAGATGACTCCGTCGGAGTAGTTTTGAACGAATTAACTACTGATTCCAAATTGTCCATTCTTTTGCTCAGAGCCGATTGCTGCAAACTAATATTTTTTATTTCTGCCAGTATTTCCGACAGTGATGGTTCAGGTAAAGCTTGGGTCTCTGAAGAACCCTTTGCAGATGTCGCACGAGTCGTGGATGGAGACATTTTATCGATTGTAAAATTTAAAAGATGGTAGTCGAGGTACCAGCGCAAATAGCTATTTGTGCGTTCTATTTACTGTTATTAAATGTACTCACGGTAGACTCTGAACTAAAAGCACGCCTGTAATCTATATCACAGAATGCCTGGTAAGTTCGTTGAGTCTGATGTAAGTTGATTGATTCGTGTCCAACCGAAAACTCCTAATGACGCTAACTCTAATTAAGATTACATAATAGCGCCTATAACATAATAATGACTTCCAACATAATAACACGCGACCAGGACACACACCCCTTTAGCCATATGAGAAATAATCCTTTCTCCCGGCACAACTCTTCTCCTATATCATACTCCCCTTCTGTTACGTACCCCATTTGATACCCCTCTAGCGCCCCTCTCGTCTATCCAGTAGTGTTGCTCTGCCACTACCTTTCCTCGGAGACGGAGTGGTCCTAGTTACCAGTCCCAATCCGGGCAAAGCCCGTCACAGTAAGATTGAGTTCCTGAACAGTTAAGAGACTCAGGAACATGGGTTCGCTTCATAGGAATTGCGTAGTAATACTGTTCGAGACAGTGCTTAGGGTTGTCCTATTATCTGATGTACATATATACCCAGCGTGAAGGAGTATTCTTCTACACGGAACGTCTTTTGTTTTTACTCATACCTATTGTTCACATAATTTTCTCATCTCTAAAGAAGACCGCCGTTATTATACCATCCTCACCTAGTACTTACTTTACCTTCACCTCTCCCGTGAACCCTATACCTGACGCCGACTTTATACCTCCTACTCTCAGGAATCACTACTATACTCTACACCTATAACCTACTTGTACCCAACTCATACTCTACGGAATACCGATAACACAGTGCCTTGAAAGGAGCTCAGCTCTTTATAAAATGCCACGAATACAAGAGACTATATGACACTTGCGGTAGTTGGGCGTAACTTCGTGCACTCATGAGCTGGCTGCTGAGAGACTGGTGGGACTCAGCTCGGCCAAAATAATACGTAGAACTCGAACTTGCAATGCGGTCGCAAGTCTAGATATCGACGGGGTGACAATGCTAGGTATTGCAGAAAAGAGATGCTATTGATTATGGCAGATTGAAAACTGACATTAGACGAGGCTAAGGCGTGTGATCGCTAAAGAAGAACGCTGGAAGAAGAGTGCTGTGCCATTTCCTTTTGTAAAGCTGGACTTCGTGTGGAAGTTTTCTTTTGTTTTTATTCTGGGCTGCTGAATTCATCATGATCCACAACACAGATAAGGATTGGCATAGTTCCGGTCATTTTTTGCATTACATTTCAATTGTGTGTGCAGTCAACTAGCTATGACACAGTACCAGAAAAAAGTACAGAGTTGATGATTAAATCTAAAAATTTAAGCACTCATGCATAGTTCCGGTCATTTAGGTAGGACGAGGCATCGTTTGTATTTTGCGGTAGTCAACCTGATTCAGCCCGGCAAAATTCGAATATAAGCTCCAGTAGGAGTGCGATAGGTGTCACTTAACCTGGCACGTCATTGAACAAACAAACGAGATCTGTTTAGGCCTTCATAAACGAAACCCAACCTTAGGTCTTAGTTACACGATGAGTTGATTTCTTTTGATTACCTAGGAATTTCATTCACTTTCAGATCATAGCCTCTGCTAGGAACGTGAGCGGGCTATATCGTGTTTAGAGACGTAATTGCCCGTCTTGATCGGGATCAGCCCCGAAGCTAATTAGTGTCTAATCGCAAGATCGGTCAATAAGCTGATTTATGCGTCATCTATCCATGTCGTTTCTATCTCACTTTATACGAAGTATTAATAGGGTCCAACGAGGTGCGGCTCCGGGACCATTAATCCGTGCAGTGAACGCATGTGTAGTCAGTACGGCAATTTATGGCGCTGAAGCTTGGTGGCCTGGACTCACCCGTATCACGACGGTACGAGATAAAAGAGTAAGTACGGGTGTCGGATGGCACCTCAAGTTACTAGATAGGACTATTTTGACTGCTGTTCGAGCCGCACTGCCAGTGTGGCGAACTACACCAAATATAGTTCTGCACCGTGAGTCAGGGATACTACCGGCAGAAATTATGCTACAGCAGCGACAGCTCCTAAATGCAGCCAGAATCCGCAGACTCGACAGCTATCACCCTTTGTCGTCAAGGGCAGCTGAGACACCAAAGGAAGCAATTAAGCGACTCAAACTGAGAGAGGGGCAAAAAGTTCGTGTCTTCAAGTTTCCAGAGCGATATCTGACACGCCTTCAGAATGGTAACCTCAACCTACCGGCATCAGAAGGGCCTGGACAGCTTTACCAACCGATCATCGCGAGGGCTATGGCTAGAGCCAAATGCGACAAGGAGGAAAAGTCGAAGCGGACTAATTATTGGCTTAGAAATCTCCCTGTAGGGACGCTGTGTGTATATTCTGATGGGTCATCGACTGGTCCAGCATACTCAGCCCATGGCTATGCTATTTACAGGGACAGAGAACTCATAGCGAGTGGTGGAAATTTTCTCCCAGGAGCAGAGGTCTTTGATGCAGAAATCGTCGGGGCAGTTCGAGGCCTAGAAGCGGCGGCGGAAATTGGAGGTAGTATAGGTATCAAGGTACTCCTCGACAATCAAGAGGCGGTAAGAGCCCTTGTGAGTGGTAGAACGAGCTCTTCACAGTCTGAGGTCCGGAATTTTATTGAACTATCCAAGGCTCAGCCTGCCGTAGAAGTCCACTGGGTTCCGGGACACAGTGGTGTTGAAGGGAACGATAAAGCCGACGCAATTGCAAAGGCAGCCCTTGCATCAAAAACCAGGGAAGGAAATATCCCGAGACCAGAGTGCACTCAGGAGGAATCTAACAAAGTCCTGACATTCGCAGCACTTAAACGCCAAGTCACAATACGAGTACAGAAACTCGCGGAAGATTGGTGGCATAAAAATAGATCGGACAGGTATGAAGATCTGGACTTACTGATGCGAAGAAAACGCCCTCCGGAGCTAACTTTACCTCGATAGGCATATCACCGCCTCATTGCGGCAAGGACTGGGCTTGGTGATTTCGCTAGCTATCACAGACGATTTCAACATCCGAATGAAGAAATGCGATGCAAATGCGGACGAGAGAAACGGCCATGGCATTTTGCAGAGTGTCGCCCGACCATCCAGAAATGGAGGACGGAAACGAAGGAACCACGACCTACGACAAGGGATATGATAGGGCAAGAAGGATGGCAGATATTCTGGCGCTTTCTAACTGTAACAAAATGTTACAGCAAAATTGAATCATAAACAGGGAACTTGAATGTCAGCTGTATTGCTTCTTAGGGCCGCTCAGTGTGGCACGAGGATGGAGGTGTAGTGCAGGGCGCTAGCACCTCAGAAATGGTGTTTTTTTCTTTTTATTTGTTTTGTTTCTGTATTTCTGGCTCCTATGAACCAATCATGTAGGTAGCGAAGAGTCTTATATAGATCTGGACTACCCGTGCCATGCCCCCTGGGTGCTGGGTCAGTACCCGGTCACGATAAAAATATCATTATCATCATTATCATTATCCATGTCGTTTAAAAAACACACTTCATAGCGGTACTGACGAGCAAGTTCCACAGTAAGAGAGGTTCTAAAGTCAAAGGAGTCTCGGGGCATTCACACAAGAGCCCGAATATATGTTAGAGCTGGAGGGTTGAGTGCAAAGTAAAGGTGAGTCAATAGGAGTACTGTTTTACCTGTGAAAGATTGCAATCTGAGCTTAAACAGATGGTTAAATCCTGATGAAGATATGCTTTTAGTATCGCCTCGAGTGTGTTCGGGCTGTGACCAGGGTCGAAGCGGAAGAAATTGCCCGAGTGCTACATTGAGCTCTTACATGGTTCATGGTGATAGCAATTCGTCAGCACATCTGCTGTAGTACGTTCATGTTGAACTTGTGTTTCTGCCGTCCAACGCTATGCGCAATGCGAAAATCACCTGTAGCATTCCATGACAGCTCTTAGGAAACTCGAATGTATTAGGAGTAACATATGCCTAATCAAACTATCAGGCCATAGCTGTCTGATGTCGGAATTTGTTCAAACCCCAAGGAAATTCTTAGTTTGATCACGAGCATGCGTCTTGCGTGGGAATATTTCAGTTTTGCTAGGTCGTCATTTAATCCAGGTCGGCTCATTCATTTCCCAACCATGAAATATTTTGAACTTTATTGTAACAAAGGGTGATATCTGAATCTGTTGGTACGAAGATAATGAACACGTTGGTACTAGACTAACGCCTATGGCTAACCCGTCCTGCATTTACACTTGATTGGTCTTCATCGTTACTATAGCATGGATACTACTTTGATTTATCCAGCTCATTGCTCTCATCATTCGTCCCTCATAATTACGTCCGTATGTTTCATTTCGTTACTCTGCTCAGTGATAAATTTCCAAAACGTTCACCCCAAATTCCCACAACACTCATGGCAAATCCTGCTGCCATTATAGATGTTCGGATGAGCTGAGATAGCATGTAGTCTTCCATGTGGCTTGTTGTTTCAATCTCATCACAATCTTTGACTATCTGGTCGTCTGGGTTAAGAACTTCATAACTTGCGTCCATTTGTAATATTTCTTGTACCTGAATCTGGTCATCAGATTTACAACAGTGTTTAAGACCTGTTACTGCTATAATATCTTTGCTGTCCAACGCAACAGGGAAAATATCAGCGGCGAAAGAGATGCCTATTAAGGCTGTAGTCCAGAGGAGATAAGGGTGCTTTTGCGCGCGTGGTGACAAAAAGTGAGCAAGCAGAAAACATGACGAGGAAACGCTAGCTAGCGCTCGAAAGTGACACAGCGATATTGTCGTAAGATTTTTGAATAGCCTGGATCCAGAAGCTGAAGGGGGGAGACTTGAAAGCAACGGAAGTATGAGGACGCTCAATGTGTAGGAGAGGCCCTGTCACACGTAAGTGAGCTTCTGTTTGGAGTGGTATTAAAGCTCAAACGGCACCATGGGAGAGAGCGACTCACCGTCTGCAAACCCAGAGAGACAACCCCTACAAATTTCAAAGTTGATACTTTGCTACAGGCCATTTGCAGTAGATGTTGATTTTAATTTGTGAATTCAGCTTTCAAAAGCAGGGCACAAGTTGGTCAAACTGTTAGCTCATGATGTATTCGGCTACACTTTGATCCGGACGAGGCTCGTCTAAGAAGAGTCAGCCAAACGCTTCGTCCGCTCGAGAATGACGACAGCCAACCTGGAAGAAGAAGGCTGAATACCTATTCCGTGCGCATGCTCTTCGCAACCCACTGGCCTATCATGCCTCTAAAGTCACCGTTTGCCTTGACAACCAGGAGGCTGCCATCCGTCTGCTCTTGGATACGCCCACGGCGCCCAGCTCGGCGAAAATATTAATCTTTCGCAAGCTCGCAATGTACTGGAGAAGAATATCACGCGGTCAAATTACGACGCCTGGGAAAGTAGCTATCCGATGGTGCCCAGGCCACGCAGTTATTCTCGGGAACGAAGCAGCCGACGCGCTAGATAAAGCCGCCTGTGCGGCTCCAGTTCCATATTTAGAACTCTCCATTACGAGGGCAAGGAGAGAAGTCAAAGCCCAATACGAGGCTTCAGTCGCACTATATTGGGCAGAAAATGCACTGTTTAGATTCAAAAAATTAGGTATTGGTCCTAATACTAAGATCACCATTGAGCTCGCTCATCTAGGGCGACGCACACTAGAATATCTATTAGCTGCACGTTCTGGACATGGCGATTTTGCAGACTACCACTGACAGTTTCAGCACGAAACGCCACCCTTACCTGCCCATGCGGAGAAGAGAAGTCCCCCGACCACTTTTTCTATTGCAACCTCGGGCAGTACCAGGCAGAGCTCTACAGGGCGCAGATCTTCAATCCCGACATATCTTGGGCTCTTGCCACAGCGGAGGGAGTTCATGCATTCAGTAGCTGGGTGCGTGACACAAACTTTTTTCGAAAAGCACAACAATTCTGACGAGAATGAAGTCATGTAATAAAAGCGAGAGAGCTTTAAAGCGACGCAACCAATTTTCCTCTTTACTATTTTTATTTCTTTGCTCTATATTCTCCATGGAACAACATCTACAAATCATGAGAGACAACGGGAGGCGGATATTCATGTTTAATTAAATCTTCGAGCACAGGATAATAAGATCCTATTTTCATTTGCTAGGTTGGGTCTATGTAGGCGCCAACACGTCGGGTAGTTGATTTTGATTGAATTTAACGTCGTGCCTATCCACAGCTCGTGACTACTGTCACGTACTGGACGGCCCACTCCCTACAGAACTACTCGGCGCTCTAGCGCGCACTACAATACCTAGAAATTACAAAAGAGTCCGAGCAGCTGTCCGCCAGGAGGACGAAAGCTGAACACCTGTTAGTGGTGTCCTCTACACACTTGGGAGTGAAATATTCTCCCAGAGCTGAGATTCAGTCACGAAAAAGGGTGAATCTGAAGGTTTTCGTTGAGTTGGCGATCGGGAGGAGTGGTGCTGGCTCATTTTTAGTCGAAAATCCGACTTGCAGAGATTTCACGACTGCACAACTCAACGAAATCAACCATCTACACCCCAGATACAAACCGCAGACAGGCTACAACCTGTCTGATGTTCGTATTACAAAAACCGACACCTTCAAGGTCTAATTTTCTTCTTCTCCAGAAATTCATTCTCAGCCAAACTCATCTCGCGGCCCTCTCTACAATCATCCCATCACCTACCAAAGCAACCCCATACCTTCAAAAGCTAAATTGCCAACTAACAAGCAAGAGGATTTCCGACCCTACGCAACTGCCAGTCGCTGTAAAGGTACGGTCGAAATACCGGCCTTAAATGCGTCCTCACCTCAGCCAAGGGCACCAACAACTTGACTTGCGACGAATCGCCACCGAAGAAATACGGACGAAATTTCGCCGGCACACCAACAGAGCGTTCGACAAAGTCTGAGGCACCGGTACCTCGGTCTTGAGCTCTCAGTCGCGTTTACGACCTCCACGGTTAGGGGTACGTCAGCTACGGGGCAGGGCCGGAGGGGTGAACATTCTACAAAGTTTCCGGGATGAAGAGATCGGCTGAAGGATCGAGGGATGCTACATGAAGGAACAAATGGGAACACAAACTGAGGAGGCCTTCAATGAAGAAAACGACCCCTGGATGAGATGAGGAGATGCTGAAATGAGCCAAAGCTGGGAGTGAAGCGAAGCGAAAAGTTATAGACGGCGAAGGTTTCAAGGGCTCGGGCGCGTGGTGGCCGAGGCTGAGGAGGAATTTGCGCTTCGGTGCGCCAAAAGGGGGTTCTCTGGACGGTTGGGCTTGACATGATTCAACACATGGGTGAAGTCTGAGGTGGTCCAGTCATTCAGGTGGGACGGGGTAGATGTACTTAATGGTAGTTAACCTGATCCAGCCCGGCCCCACCCGGGCTTAAGCCCCAGGAGGAGTGCAGCGGCAGTCACTATACCTAGCACGTAAATGAACAGAACAGAACGATTCACGAAAACACCTAGGTCTATCTGGGGCTCGTGTTCAAATAAATAACATATCTGAAACTCCTTTTATATTTGCGACGGAGCATTTCTCAGTCGATCCTACACCCGCGACCCACCTCCGCACCCATCGTACGCTCTGCTGAAGAAAGTCATGATGGAGACGGGAATGATGATAAGGGGGAAGAAGGGAATATAAACCGAGGGGATCACACAGATCCCTAATGTCGACCACGACCCAACTGAACGATACTAAGGTGCAAGGCTAGAGAAACTATGAGAATCTGGACGGCGTTTATATTATGGAGTCAATGAGGATGGTAAGGGATCGGGCGCGCAGTGGCCGAAGCTGAGGAAAATTTTGCGCTATGGCGACTACATAGCGGGTTTCTGGACCGTCAGGTTCAGTATGATTCAACGCATGGGTAAAGTCTGCTCAGTCTGGTCATTTAGATGGGATGAGGCATATCTGTACTTCACGGTAATTAACCTGATCCCGCCTGGCCCCACTCGTTCTTAAGCTACAGTAGGAGTGCAACGGGAATCACCATACCTAGCACGTTAATGAGCAAAGCAAACGAGTGCAGGCGACACTATAAAAACTGCCATGGTTGGATAGTGCAGTGGTACATCGTCTTGGCCGGTCTGCCAAGTAGAGACTGGATAATCAGACACATATCCCACTCAAGACAGTATATCGCTGGTTCAAATCCGGCAAAACACAACCACTTTTCTCGCGGCGCTGGTATGTATGGATGACGAAGGCATGCTTGCACAATCAAAAGTTTTAAAACGTTCCTTTGGTGGATACTTACGGAGGAGGGTCGACTGTTTGTGTAAGCGACCATACCTCATTGTGGTATTTGCGAATGAAATCCAGAGTATGAGTGTTTCTAACGTCGAAAGAGTCATCCCACATGTATACATAGCACCGGTCATGTGTCATAGCTAGATAGCTGAATACATAATAAATGATTTTTTTTAAAAAAAAAAAGAACAAAACAAAAACAACTAGGACAGTGCTTACACGCTTCGAATATATGCGAGGGCTCGTTTGCCGTAGAATGTGATGCTCGGGCCAATGATTATCTATTACATTGGGCTCATCTCAAACATAGGTCACACCTTGTGCAGTGTTGCTATCTTCTTTTATCAAGGAAAATAACTCTTACGTAGTAACCATGACCGGTAGCCATTGAATCCAGTGTGTTTTGTTTATTGTACTACTTGAGTCACTGACTATCAGCACATTGGGCTCCTTTCTGATCCAGGCCACACCTTGTGCAGTGTGTAAAGGGACTAGAATCACGGACGCTGCACGCAAAGGCTGCCACAAAATAATCTATATTTTCTATGAAGAGAACACTTCAGTGGGACAGAGCCAATGTAAGGTGTGTGCTGATGACAACCTTACATAAGCACTTACTAAGCGTCTTACCTGTTGCAATAGACAGGCCTATTTGCCACATCCCACTTACATGCAAGGCTGGGCCAGTAAGTCAGCCCAGCCAATTAACACCGGGTAAAACCTGTAACACAGTGCTCCTAACCCCGTTGGTTAATTAATAAATCATTGATATATTCCCCTTGATAAAAAGCCATTCAGCTCAATGTTTACTATTAGAATTATGCCATTTTTTCCACGGAACCTTCTACCCCCAAAAAAAAAATGGTAGCAATGGAAACCGCGTGCGCGGGAAAAGTCTCAAAAAACCTGCAGCCCCAGCCAGGCGAGACCTAGACACCGGGACCACATGAGGTGCGCATATTCATTTATATCTCCATTCTTAGTAATACTAGAGGTCGACTTGATCAAATCCGCCATCGTCGTATCGGGTGCTGGGTACGCTCCGGAAACTCATCGGATGGCTTTTCCTCCATGATCAGGGGTTGGTGATAAGTAGGGCTCCGACCTACCATCTGATCTGATGGTGGTTAGCTTCATGATAATGGTGATAGGGGAATGTAATGAGAGATGAAGAGGATATAGACCGCGAAAACGATTGGGAATCCTCGTCGAAGTGAGGAGTTTGTGACTCAATCTCGGCTCTATTGACTCTACAGTGAAAGCTTGAGGTTTGTAGGGGACACGGCTGACAGGTTTTGAGAATAGTCCCACAATTGAATCCAGTAATCACCCGTAGAATTCAACCTCAGTTCCCATGGGACCTTGTGTGTGAGTATCCTACTTGAAACGTGATCTCAATACCTACTTAAGTAAGCTTAGAGATTCTTGGGCAGTATATTATCCATTGTGTTGAAACTTTTTAGAGATAAAGAGTTTTGTAGACCTTTTATCATTTAGGTTGGGCCTGCATCATGAAAAATAGTTATCAGAGAGGTTATAGAATTTTACGTGTAAATTTTGCATTACTTTATCTTGGATATCTTGCTTTATAGATTGACTGTATATCGACGTGGACATGGCAATTTCTCACTGCCTGCTAAATTTTAACTTCCCAATCTATTAAAGTACACTCATGTTCAGAATAATCAAAGACCTGACACTGTTTCTCTATGCTTTAGGCTAGAGCTGGAACTCCGGATTGCTTATTAATACATGAAACATTACAAATAGAGTAATAACCATAGAACCTCAATGTCCAATCTCATACGAATTGTTAAGAGGCTAAAAAGGATTAATGTTAGAACAGATAGGACCATATGGGAAATATCGCAAGTTTGTCATCTAGGATAAGCTGATAGTATATTTCCATGCGCCATATCCGTCATTTATCGATTTGAAGTATTGGATAACTTAGTTTTATATGGCAAAACAGCCCGTAAATCTTGTGAATATATCTGTAATATGTTAGAATTGGAGAATAATTAGATTGTTACTGTCACATTTGTGGGAATCTTATCTGAGAGATGTGCGGTCTAATCAACATCAGGTGCTGCTTCTTTGTGTACTTCGGTTTTGAAGTTTTCAGACCCTTGGTCGATCGGTGTCGCCCCAGTCTCATTGAGGATTAAATTATTTGCCTCAGATTCGCTTTTTACGTTGATATTCTTGAGGATAGTCACTGGTGTGTTTGCATTCTCTGTGTCGTTAGCAAGAAGCTTATTCCACTCATCTAAAAGTTTTTGTGATCGAAGTTTGAACTGATATTTTTCTTCCATTGGTATATTGTGCAGTTTTAGAATCGCTTTCAACACTTTGTTTATCTTAGTTTGGCGAATTATACTGACTTCTAGATCGACATATGCCTCAAGTTTGTCGATAAATTCAGACATTAACTTCATCTCCTCTATCTTGAGCTCTTGGTCTTTGGTTAAAAGACCTTTCTGGAGTTTGTGACGCAAGAATAATATTTCTTTCTACAACCGAATTAGAGCGGTTATATTGAATATCTTAATGATGCATACCTCTTTTTTTATCCTCTTCTCCTCTAAGCTGAGTTCTGGTTCCCTCGGTATTTTAATTACGTTATTTGTTGGTATCTTGAGCTTTTTAGGTTTTCCTGATTTTTCTGGTTTTATAGGTTTTTCAGTATTCTGTTTTTTTAGATCAGAGACTTTTGAAATTGAAGGTGTTTGTTTCCCAATCGTAGTCTTCGTGTTAAGTTTAATTGTTGTTCTTTTCCTTGGAGGTTCCTCAAGTACCTATATATATGTGTTTAGCTAAGAGCTCTAACAGTCACTAACAAAATACTGTGGAGCTTACTTCTTCAGCAGGTCTTTTAGATCTAGTTTTTGAGATGCCTACTCGTGGCTCTTTAGCTTCCACGTTTAATTGTGCTTCAGAAGCGTCTTCGTCTTCTATTATACTTTCATTCGAGGTCGCTTTCGATTTTCTTGAGGATTTCGGCGTTTTTTTCTGTGTTACATTATCTTTCTTCTTAATTTTCTCAATTTGCTTTTCATTTTTAATCTTTTCGTCTTCTAGGCGTTCTGCTTCTCTCGCCTCAGTAAAAGACCTCAGAATATCTTTGAAATAGTTTAAGTCATGCTTCTCGGCGGCTAGTTTTCGAGCCATAGTTAGATCTTTTCGCAATGTAGTATTAGAATTAGCAATTTCCTCGAAATCGATCTCGAGTAAATCATAGTTTGGGATCCATCCACTAAATTTGTAAGTGTTTTAGAAAATTTTATAATGCAGATAACATACAATTCATTTGTTGAAAGATACATAACTGGGAAAGAACGGTCTTTAGCCTTTGGGCCACCATCTGTGAAGTCCTCACGGTATGTGCCATCAACCCTGGCTGCCGAGACCGGGCGCGACTTAAGAAGAGTACTAGGCAGCATTGTTTCATCGCAAACTATAGCTGGCCATAATGGATATCCCTTTAGCCTGACATAAAAGTAATCACCAGGCTTGGCATCAATGTGTGTGGTCCTTATTTTTGTGGCCTTCTTGTTTGGCTTTTTGATCCTGTGATCTGAGGTGCCACTCGACTTGCGTCGGCTTTTTGTCTTACTATCTACTACTGATGAATCTGTAATCCCTTCTGCATTTGTAACGACACATGATACCGATGTATTTAATTCCTTGTTATCTTCCATCAAAATATCTTCAGGTTCGGGTAAAGAGTTGGTCTGGGTACGTCTTCGAAGAATATTTTTTTTGTTATATTTTTCACTCTGGGCGATAGCTGAACGTGCAAAGTTTTGAGTTAGCCAATAATTCATTCTCACCCATAAATCTAGGGAGTAATAGACATACACTCTTGTGACGCGCTTCTTACGAGTTTTGTACTCCTTTTGTCATCGTCAGAAGCTAAGGTTCCTTCAACCTCCTCGCTTTCAATTGTTTCTTGCCTTTGTGTCTGCAATGAGTCCAATGAGACGTTTGACGTAGATGGGACATGTGCTTCTTCCTCTTTAGACATATTGAGAATCTTGTTGTCTGGGAATAATAGTAGCAATCAAGATCGTGCGAAAATTTGAAAAGCCGATCTTATTAAAATTTCCTCTGAGATTAGGGATCTGCTTAATTTCGTGCGAGAAAGGAGAAGCGATAGTCCAGATAGTTGCTTGGGTGGTAGGGGCGATGGTAAGTTAAGCTATGTCCACCCAGAAGTTGCGAGAAAACTTAAGCTAGGTGGAGATATTGTCACGGGACCTAATAGATCCACTTAGACTTGCGCGCCAACTTTGCCACAAACAGCCGTCCCCAGAATGAGGAACTATCTCTACAATGTGATCAATGCATGCACATAATTGCCGAAATTCTACTCTAGATCCTATTCATCTTCCTCATTATCGTCCTCGTCCATGCCTTCTGCAACGGTAACGGAAAAACATGGATCTTGATCGATACCAACATAACTGTCGCTCATTAAGAATAGTTTCAAATCATGATCTCCTGCGGTAGGAATAGTATACTCAAGTCTCAGGTTTAATGATCGTCCAATTGTGATTCGTTTGTTGGCTAATAATGTTTTTGAGGATTCTTCGCCGACTACTAGCCACCAATTCTCCATTTTTGGGTTAGGATAAAACGGTGCATGGACCGTTGCATCGATATCTGCAGCTTCATCTACTTCAACTCCTCTGGTTATTTTGATTTTCAGATATGCAGGAGATCCTGCCGTAATATTAAGAGGGTCTTCAACCTCAAAATCCAGTTCGATATTGGGATATTTTGTATTAGTGAAATCTGCTGCCTTAGCAAGCTGGCTTTGAGAGAGCCCAAGGCTCTTTACTAGTTCATCATACTTAGGATTCTCAGAAGGATCCATAGCTTCCATGAATTCAAATACATCATTAATCCTTTTATTAAAATACTAGTTAGTTCTCTTATCTGTTAAAAATAATTGAATGATGCTTACCCAAATTCATTTGCAACTTTAATTACTTCAGGGGTAAAGTGTGGAATCTGCTTCAGAGCGCTATCACGATCCCACATTGCCTGGACAACCATTTGTGACATCTCCATAGCATTCATGGCGTTGAGGTATCCTTCAGAAGATAAAATATCAACAGTAGCGCTCAGTAAGCCAAGAACTTTCGTTAATATTATCTCTTGATCTTTGGAGAGGTCGATTGGTAGCTGCATCCGAGAAAAGTGTGCTTGAAGAAGGATAAAAGCCTTGAAATGAGGTGAATCATAGCTTGGTTGCGCCATCTTTACGGGCACTTTATCGTAAATTCGCTTGAGCAAACTTTCCTCATGACGCCTGACCTGGATAGACTCAAACTCTGTTGCAGATGTCACGATTTCAAGAATACCTTTGAGCTTTGTTTTACCTGTGAGAGATAATAAAAATGTCTGCGTAGTAATATAAGATATGTTATAGTATGCAGCAATCATGGCAGCATTTAGAGGTGTTACTGAATCTTCCTCTTCATCAAGGTCGATAATTTTCGAGTCTGAAAGATCTTTCAGGGTTGTTTCCACCATCTCAGACAAGTGAGCGCTGAGACCTTCGTGTGAAGTGTTAGTTAAGCTGTAGTAACTGGGATTTGCAAGAAGACGGCGATAAAAGTATGTAAATGTAGTCCAGTTAATTGCATCTTCAGCGGACTCAATCATTTTGGCGCTTATCTCCGATACAAAAGCGTCGTGTAGATAAACATGTAGGCAACTCTCAATCGGTAGGGCCTCATTGAGGAATTTCTTGTAGTAATCTCTCTTGACTCCTGGCACCATCAACACACCTTTACTGCTCTCATCTTTCAGAGGACGTGAAGCTTTGCCAAACATGTGCAAAACTTCGCTTAGCGGATAATCTACATAGCGATGTTCTCGCCCTTCAAAATACTGCGTCCCCATTACAACGATTAAATGTGCTGTGCAATTAAGCTCCCAGCACGCATCACGAGATGATACTAAAACCTGTATAGCACCGTTATCATATAAGTGTTTAACAATTCGCTTATCAGTTACACTGAGCGCTTCGTGATAATACCCGACTCCGTGAGAAAGTGCTTCAGCTAAGGCTTCTTCTTGCACACGTCCAAGAAGGGGCTTCATCTGTTCAGCATCGGCATGTAAAAAACGGTTTTCATCATCATTCGCCAGACAAGTTGATAGTAAATCTCTAGTTGATGCTCGTGCTTGCTTTCTACTTGGTACAAAAATTATAGCTGGTTTATCAGGAGACATCTGTGATATTGCTAAATATGTGGGCTTTGCCATTGCAAGCATCAGCGAAGGAAAATGAGGAATCGAAAATGACTGGATGTGAAGTTCTAGAGGCACAGAGCGGACATGGGGGCTGAAATTGTAAATATTATGCTTCTTAGCATCAATCCATTCCCCAATATCTCTCGCGTTGGAGAGCGAAACACTTAATCCAATTATACGCAAAGGTAGTTTTGTTTGAGAACGAATGTAATGCATACGGGAAACAATTATCTCGTAAACATAACCATTCTGTCCGCCGAGCATATGAAGATCGTCAGCAATGAATAGTTTGATATTCTGTATATTTTTTCGGCGCTGCCATTGACGTGATAGCACATCCCAGAAGATTGGTGTCGAAAGGATCAAATCGCTGTGCTCCAAAAGCTTGAGATCAGCTGCAATCTCACCAGTTAGCTTCACAATATTTTTACCAGTACTTAGTTTGGAAAATCGAGTTTGCCAATTATTGTACATGTTATCAACAAGCTCTTGGAAAGGAGCAATATAAACTGCCCGTCCTGCGTCAGGATTTGACCAGTGACGTAGTAAAGCAAATTCAGCGCAGACTGTCTTTCCGCTGCTCGAGGGTGCACCGACAAATACGTTCTCATCCGACGAATATAGTGAGTTAAATGTTTGGGTCTGAATCTTGTTGAATCTTTCCCATCCCGGATATAATTCTCTAAAATTATCCGACTTAAGGGCAGCAACTGGTAGGGGTTGTAGATCCAGGAGCTGGGTATGGGGGGGAAACTTTTCGGGCAAAAGAAGTTTCTGGAAGGATACTTCTAGTTTGGTCTCGGACTGCATCCATCTGTCAGATATCAAGGAGATAAAATAATTAGGCGGCATTGGTTCTGTTATTGGAACAGTAAATTCGACAACATGCTCATTCACTTCAGCTAGAGCAAAATTTTTTCGAATAATAAGTTGATCTTGAAAGAGTATCTCTTCGCCATCACAATCTTCGGCGATAATCCAAAAAGTTTCTGCAACCCCATGAATCTCGTCATCCCATTCAAAATTAGGTGTTATAGTTAGCTCTACTCGAAGCATAGATCTTGTCATGGGTTGAACAGTTGCTTGGACCTCAACACGAGGAAATTTTGATACAAGATTACAAACAGTACGACCAGCTTTTGGCAGACCGAGTAGCTCTCCCATTCTTGGAGGATCTAGACTAAAATAATTAGCCCAGGCCACATCAATCCTTTCTGCTTTCTGAATTATATCCCTGGGGCAGCTTGGAAACTGTCGAAGTGGTGTCATTGTTGGCCACATTCTCTTTTCTGCCATTTTACAGAGTTCGAGTGCAGTTTTTGCAACAGATGACCAGCCTTTTCTCAAAGTGATCTCAAACATTGCACGAAGAATACGCCCAGCTGACTGAGTGACATATACAAGATCCGCCATTAAGGCAAGGCCTTCAAGTTTGAGACGAGATATATAAGCTTGAAGAAGCACATTGATTTTTGCGTGAGGCTCCTCGATGCTTTCTTTGACGGGGATAGGCACTCTGCCAAGGAGCTTTGCAAGTTCTAATTTTTCATCCTGACGCACTGGAATGTACTTGAATTCATCGCTCAAAGCAAATATACGGAACAGCTCGATTGGAGTTATTGAATGTTGAATATGATGATTATAAGTTAGCATAGAGCTATGGGTAATATAGTAGTGACTAGCAATACGGCCAAGATCGGTTGATTGTAACTTCCCGGTCTTCTTGTCATATTTAACTAGGTTCGACTTTTCTAATACCACAGCTGCAGAGTGTATGAGGTCTGTACGTTTTTGCTCCAAAATTTTGTCATCTTCATAATCGGCACCCACACTGTAAAGACCCGGAGATCTTAACATCCTGACGAATAGATAAGTATAGCTAAGCCAATCGACGCCATCGTCTCTATTTCGAACGTTACCAAGCACTATCTCAGCGTTCAGATTATCAGCTAGACGAGAAATTAACTGACTTTCGATTGGAAGCTGTTGGTTGAGAAGGGAAAGGTAGTACTGCATTTCAGTTTGAGTTGTGATAATTATTCCTTCTCCATATGTGTCATATTGTGGCCTACCAGCTCTCCCGAGCATCTGAAGCACATCTTGAGGGCTCAGCTCAACCCAGCTACCCTTTTCTGGGGAGTATATCTGTGTTCCTTTTATAATGACTGTATGAGCTGGAAGATTCACACCCCATGCTAGAGTAGCAGTACACACAAGTACTTGAATAAGGCCATCATTGAAGAGATCCTCCACCGACGTTCGGTCAGGGCGGGTCATACCCGCATGATGTATACCAAGTCCATAAGGAAGAAGATCCTTCAAATCTCGATCATATACGGCTTCCGCTTCGCTATTTAGAGCTTCCCTGCTACCAGCATCACCTCTCAATATTTGGCCAATTGTTTCCATCTCTAGAGCTTTGTCACGTATATACCTAGCAGTTTTAGATGTCTCTTTACGTGAATGGACGAAAATTATCATCTGGTTGCGCTTGGTGCCGACGTGTTCTAGAACCTTTGTGTAAGTGATATCATTCATTGCCTTCAGTTGTTTGATGGCCTTTTTTTCCGTTATTCCGATAAATTCTTGGCGAAGTGGACAAGGACGATATGATGCATCGAAATGGAAGAGGTCTTTTTTTACATCTACTCGTAGGAAATTTGCAACGTCATGATAATTAGGCAGCGTAGCTGATAATCCGACCAGGCGGACTGGATCTCCAGTTTGCTCCATTCTACGAATGGTTCGACTAACAATACTTTCTAATACAGGACCTCTTTCATCATGTAATAGATGGATTTCATCGATAATAATAAGCCGCACAAGATTTGTATAGCTAAGGTCGGTTGCTTTTCTGGTAATGACATCCCATTTTTCGGGGGTTGTTACAATTATTTGCGTATCGGCAATCTGCTGCTTGGTCAATTGGCGATCTCCAGTAAGCTCTGACACCTGTATTCCATATGGCTTGAGTCTATTACCAAAATTACCAACTTGTTCCTGTACCAGGGCCTTTAATGGAGCAATGTAGACAATCTTGAAGGCATCTAGATTAATTATCTGGGTTTCCGGATCACGGTGCTTACCGATCTCCCGAAGAATTGTTAACATTCCCACATTAGTCTTACCACTTCCCGTAGGAGCACATATTAATAGATTACCGTCGTCCTTGAAGGCCTGGGGAAAGCACTTAGATTGAATCTTGTTCAGCTTAGTGGCAGAGCTAAATGGAACTCGAGCCCATTCTGGAATTTCAGTTATAGGAATATCGCGTTCACCGGGCTCATTTCGCTTCTTTGGGGGTGGTACATGAATCTCTTCATATCCTTTGTAGGTTTTCTTCGTTGAGCCCTCTGGAAGCTTGACTTTAGCGTTGGTCATAAGATGATTTCCCTGGTCGAATACTAAATTTTCTAGATTAATTATTTTACGTGGCTGTAAGCCTCCAACAAGACTGGGTCCGCTGGGTTGTTCAGTCTCAGATGAAGCTTTCATGAAGGAGCTTGGAATAGTTAAATCCATTTTTATCTCCATTTTTCGCTTTTTTGAGCTATCTCCATGGGTAATTCCCCGAAGCTCATCCAGAATCCATCCTAGGCCTTCGCAGGCAATTTCCCGTTCGACAACGCCCCGAGCTTCGGAATCTTCAGCTCGGGCTAGTCGTGTAAGCCAGAATATTTTATCCCTGTTTGATATAAGCTTGTGGACAAGATCGTGATTCTCGTAGTCAAATAGTTCTGCAAGGTCATTTTCGATTTCTCTAAGAGGCCTTTCTTCTGCACCTTCTTCGTCTAATAACCCGGAAAGAATGTGAAGAGCCTGTTGTGTTTTGACCTGTTGAATATGAGCATCTGTATATATGAGCCCGATCTGACGCTGAAGCCAATAAGCATCAATATCACGCGCTGAAATATGACTTTTGACTTCATTCTTTGATGAATCGCCATTAGCGGTACCTGAATCGATTATAATTGCTCCTGTCTCAAATAATTCTTGATCGCTAGATGTTTTAACTTCGGATTGGTCACTAGGATTTTCAACTTGATCTATATCACGGCCTTCGCCGCCCTCATCTTCATCGTCTGAAAATTCCTCACGAATTTCGTTGACCATCTCCTCATCATCTTCGTCGTTCGAATTATCATCAAAAACTACGGCCACACCTTGCTTGTCATCTATTTCTGCGCCATTTTCCCCTGCTACTTCTCCATCTTTCATCACTTCATCTTCATCTTGCGCATCGTAGTCGGTAATTTTTTTTCCGAGGTTCACAAGTTCGTTGAATTGCTTGGGAGTAAGCGTAGTTCCTAAGAGCTCATCTATTTCCTTCTTTTTATCAAAATCCTTCATATCATCATCCTTTAAGTACTCAAGTACTGCATCGGCGGCGCTGCGAGTAATTTCGTGAGATACATCCCCGAGGTTTGCCGCGACTGTGGTAAGAATTAGATCATATGTGGCTCTAGTTGCAGAAGTTCTTGGACGATAAATTATTCCTTCTATTAATGCGTCTGCAGCAGATAATATTCCGGTTCCACGAAGTTGGGCAGGCTCTCCACGTTTTCTTTTGCGCTGCTCACGCTCGAGTACATCCTGCCCCTCCTGTAAGGCTCCTCTCTCGATATCAAGAAGCCCTATTGCCTTCTTCTTCTGCTTTGGTGCATCATTTCGTGCATTTCGTGAACCCATATCCTTAATACTCAATCTTCCGGCTAGTGACTCGGGATCTCCCGTAACTTCGTCATTTCTTCGAGTGACAAACCGACGATCAGCCTGGAGAACCAGATTTGACATCGCCGAGTACTTGTATTGGGAGACATCTCGTTGCTGATCTGTCGCCATTATTTGTGTAGCCTCCGAGCTAATAATTTCTAGCTAATACTTCAAGAAGTTGCCCTTCGACAAAAACGTTGATGAAAAAAAGATGGGAGATATTAATTTTGTTACAATCAACGAAATAATTCGGGGTATTCTTAGGGTCTCATATTACAAGATATCGAGTTGAAGAGGTTTTTCTGATGATGAAAGGTAAGGCTATCAATTGTGTTGCCTGGAAATTCGTCGCAATGCTTGGGCAATAACTGTGGAGCGCGATTACCGTATCTATAGCCGTCACACAACAAATCCAGAGCCGACCATTCAGCATTGGTTAGAAGAGTTTGAGAAATTCCTGGATTTATCTGCAATAAACGCATGTTCCAATTTATTCCCCTTCAATCAACCCCATTCTCAACCAAAGAAGCTCTTAACACAAGCTCCCTATATTGTTCTCACAGCACTAATTATCGATTCAAAGATTGTAGATACAAACAACGCCCTCATGAACAAGTATAAGCCGAGGCCAGAGGCACTTCTGAAGCTCATAGGTGTCCTCGAGCCATTTGTTAAGACTAGGCAAGAAGTGACTAAAATCAGGCGCATCTTACGACTACTTCTTAATTCAAATTTGCAGGCCGCAAATGACCAACCCACAAGCTATTTTCTCTCGATTACAGAATCTTCACTTTCTCAGAATCCACCACGAACTAGAATGAAAGGACGTCATGGAGAATACTTAAGATGTCTTCAGGCCAACATCAAGGCCAGAAATGAGCATACAAAATTGAGTATGGAGCATAAAGTTAACAGCGGAGATGAAGCCCACTCTGTAGGTGGTACTAATAGCTCATTAAACCAAGACGACACCAACTCGGTAATGGAATCTTACATTGACCTCCTGAGAAAGCGGCATAAACGTGAACGTTTACGTTTAATTCGAGATAATATTGAAACTTTCTTCCAAAAGCCAGCAGCTTCTAACAAGTTTCTTAACTCTAAAGATACACCAGAGATCTTAGCATCTTTACCTAAAGTTCCTTCAGAGCTAATGCAACAATCAGATATTGACAGGGACTCGATAGAAGAGGTCCTAGAAGACATGGTTATACGACTGGAAAAATCCATCCTACGAGCTAAGATTATACTTCGAAGGGAACAAACTTTGAATTCTAAACTTAGGGATCAAACCCCTGTCACTTGTCCAGTACCACAAGCAAGGCTGTTTGCTTTGGGTAGTACACGAGACGAGTTGATTACTTGGATCGAAAGTGAACTAGCTAGGGTAGGTGAAACCTCTGGCACTACGAATAAAACTACTCTAGGCAGCTTCAGTCACCAAGAAATTGGTTCCGTTAATGTGGATGACAGCTTAAGGGCAATAAAAGGGCAATACTCTGGATACGTGGCCGTTAGACAGCTCTTAATTGATTGTCTTCATGACAGTATTAAAATGCCATTTCATCTTCATGATGAGATATCTATGACCACTGAGCCTAACGAAGAGCGGGGGAGCTTCGATTCTGAGTATAACCCACACCCTTGCCTTAATGAGCTGGCACATCTAACAACTGAAATTAAACAATGTATTCAACACAAATCATACCTTACATCGAGTTTAGGAAAACAGCATGATAAGACAGTTCGAGATTTCGAACGTCTTGCGCAAGAAAGTCATCTGTTACTCTCTCATCCAAACCCACTGTCAAAGAAACAGTGTGACAGGCTTGATCACCCAGATTCTCTCGTAGCTAGACTCCCTAGTCGTGGAAAACCAGATCTAAGTTTTCATGCACAAGCATGGGTACATGCCGCTCAGTCAGCAAGTCACACCGTCACCGAGGCAGTCCTAGTAAATTTGGAAAACGGGTTAACCTCCGCTGCAAACTCTCTTCATGAAATAAATAATCTTAAAAGTCTGGTAGGTATTGATTCTGAGGATAAAAATAATAACATTAGACGTGACATTTGGGAGGGCCTGAATGGAAATTTAGGTGCTATTAAAGAAATAATAGGTGAAATTAATTGATTACCATAGTAAAGAGATAAACTTGCAGCATAAATTCGTCTTTACAGAGTTTGAATCTTATTTCATTGTGATGTTAGCTTTAAACAACTAGTTGGAAACTTGTTCATTAGTCAGCTCAGTCCAGATGTTTTTAAGATATTCTGATGTCACGTTGAACCCGATAACTTCCTTTTTTGCGTGTGGAAAATAGAGTGCAGTTACGTTCCTGTGAGGAATTCCATTGATAACACTTAAGAAAGGTGTGAGGGACACCTTGTTACATTGTAGACGTAGACTAGAGAGCCTTACTTAATTGATTTTAAATGGATGAATTTTTATTCGTGACGGGCACAAGCCTAGCACTCAAAGAACATGACACGAAGGCTAATCCTTTCCCGACGACTGCATACCACGATAACTCAATTTGACAAAATCGCCCTCTAGCTTCGATCTCGTACTTACATCTACGACCGCGAACAATGCCTGACCCCTTCCTCTCCCTATTCCCCCGTCAGTAGTAGGGGCACCAACGACACTGACAGAAACGCTGAACCAAGCAACTTCCGCTGCTAACATAAGAACGCAGGAGGCAACTTTTTTGTTTGGAAGCGTGGCCGCAGTATCGGATAACGTCGCTTGTGGTACGGATGCCTCTACAATCCCCCTCCATTTATAGAAAACATATAACGAGTTCTTGACCCGTATTAATCATTACTATTAATCATTTTATTCTCCTTTCTGAATCTATGACTTGGTAGTACATGCAGGTCCTCTCTATCTACAGGCTAAGGACAGCTTTGCCAGAATTGTACCCTCTCCTCCGCCTCCTATATAGCTCCTCTCAAAAAGTGCCACCACTTCATAAGCCCTCGTTCGATCATACACTTAGAGGCGCCCTTTGCCCTTCATTATCTTCCCTCTCCAGCTAACGAAACGATAGCCATTTGCAGGTGTATGGCAGCTAGGAAAGATCGAAAAAACCACTGGGTGCGGAGCTCTCCTAATACCGACATTAGGACTAGATCCGAAAACATAGTGCCCCTTCTGAAGCATTCGAAGAGGCTGGCTAGCTGGGTGCTGCAAACTTGTGGGTACCTCGGAAAATTCACCCTCTGCCTTTCTAGCCTCCTTCTAACTCCTTCCCGAAGGTCGTGCTGAAATGTCGAAAAAGTCTTACCAGAGCATGATTGCTGTATAGTAGTTTAGTCCAACTTCTTTTGTGCCGTGCAGGACACTGGGGAGTGCCGTTGACTCATCGACAAAAGAAGGCCTCCTGGCTATCTAGCCGTAACCTTAATCTTGGCGCCCACAAAAGATTTGAAGTTGAAAACCCCTCGAAAATGTCAGACCCAGCATTTACTTGAGAGACCTATTCTCCCTCTCGCTCCACATATTAGCCGCCCGTCTCTACTCCTTGCGGGTATACGTAGCGTCGTAAATTTGAAGTGAGTGATGGCCAGTATTCAATGAGGCAAGCTCCTGTCTGAAATTGGGGTGAGGCCTTTATCGGTCGTTGAGGCGAGATGATATGTGGTTAGATCGAGGTTGAGGAATCTAGTGAGAATGACAAGACCGACATTGATGATGAATAGCCAATCATGGTTGTGTTTTTGTTCTTGTTTGCTCTCGACTTCAATTCGGATGCGATTCTTCTTGACTATCCCAGATATGTAGAGGATACTGAGCGATTACACCGGCATCACTAGAAGGAGAAGATTTTGTCTTTGGTCGATTGTTACTCAGTTGCGACTACACTTTGGGGCTGAATACTGATTGCTTGATATGTCTACAAGCGAATTAGTTCCGGTATAAGCTACGAGTTTCCCCCTCAGGAAGATATCCTTCCCGCTATGACTGGCCCTCATCGCCTCTGTGAAGTATAAATTTCCGAAGACAGCGTGATGTATAAAGTCATCTGATACCGTATTTCATCTTGGACCCCATATTTTTTTGAGGAATCTGGGTACCCCGGTTTCTAGATCAGTAAGCTCTGGCGTCCTATTTCAATTCGGGACTAGTATATGATAGTCATTAGTCAGTGCAAGTAAACTTATGCTTGCATCAGTTTGGAACCTGTCCAAAAGCAAGCCGGCATAGTCGAATTCTTCACCGTCCAGTGGTGCCGGTGTAATCGCTCAGTATCCTCTACATATCTGGGATAGTCAAGAAGAATCGCATCCGAATTGAAGTCGAGAGCAAACAAGAACAAAAACACAACCATGATTGGCTATTCATCATCAATGTCGGTCTTGTCATTCTCACTAGATTCCTCAACCTCGATCTAACCACATATCATCTCGCCTCAACGACCGATAAAGGCCTCACCCCAATTTCAGACAGGAGCTTGCCTCATTGAATACTGGCCATCACTCACTTCAAATTTACGACGCTACGTATACCCGCAAGGAGTAGAGACGGGCGGCTAATATGTGGAGCGAGAGGGAGAATAGGTCTCTCAAGTAAATGCTGGGTCTGACATTTTCGAGGGGTTTTCAACTTCAAATCTTTTGTGGGCGCCAAGATTAAGGTTACGGCTAGATAGCCAGGAGGCCTTCTTTTGTCGATGAGTCAACGGCACTCCCCAGTGTCCTGCACGGCACAAAAGAAGTTGGACTAAACTACTATACAGCAATCATGCTCTGGTAAGACTTTTTCGACATTTCAGCACGACCTTCGGGAAGGAGTTAGAAGGAGGCTAGAAAGGCAGAGGGTGAATTTTCCGAGGTACCCACAAGTTTGCAGCACCCAGCTAGCCAGCCTCTTCGAATGCTTCAGAAGGGGCACTATGTTTTCGGATCTAGTCCTAATGTCGGTATTAGGAGAGCTCCGCACCCAGTGGTTTTTTCGATCTTTCCTAGCTGCCATACACCTGCAAATGGCTATCGTTTCGTTAGCTGGAGAGGGAAGATAATGAAGGGCAAAGGGCGCCTCTAAGTGTATGATCGAACGAGGGCTTATGAAGTGGTGGCACTTTTTGAGAGGAGCTATATAGGAGGCGGAGGAGAGGGTACAATTCTGGCAAAGCTGTCCTTAGCCTGTAGATAGAGAGAACCTGCATGTACTACCAAGTCATAGATTGATAAAGCACAAAAAAAACAGAGTAACTATGCCATTTATCCCTTAGTAATAATCCATCTCATATACAACATTCAGTATTACTAGAAAAGCTCTAGTGTAGAGACTGGATCTTTTCCATGCGTCACAATGCCATGATAACTGCCCGTGTAATAGCTACTAGATCTATGACAATTCATAGTTAAGTTTTGCATGAAACCGTATTTTTGAGATATGGGGACGGACAACCAATTGGGTATTTTCGATCAGCAAATCAAAAAATTTCCATCTACAGAATGAGGGGTTTCCAGGTGTACTCGCCTCTGTTTTGAATGACAGAAGAGCATTCAGTCCTGAGAATTTTAAAATTTAAGGGATGCGAAATTTCTTCGAGCATCAAATTTCAGCGCTTAGTAATGTTGGCAGATTAAACCCCATCTGTCATGCAAATGCTTTTGACAGCCTTTGACAATAAGAAGTGAAAATTCATCAACCTCATTGTTGAAGAACTCGCACACTAATGCTATTGGTTCACCATTGATCCTCCAGACTCGCCCACCCTACTCACAAGATAGTTATCTTTGTGATCAACATGGACTTGCCCAGCCGAATTCTTAACGCTCTCTCAGCAGTGGACGGCTCAATTATTTCGTCGGACAAGTTTCCTGAAGTATTATCTACAGAAATTAAAAGTGCACTGGACAAATTATCATCACGGTCCATGGTTTGTTATGAAACTCTTGATAGGGATGAAGTAGTCCTCGAGCCTGAAGCGTTCGAGATAGAATCTCAAGGAAGTCATGAGGCCCGAGTTTTCGATGCTTTGCGTAACTCAGTTGACGGCCTTACGTTGTCAGAACTTGAGATAGCTGTAGGAGACAAAAATGCCGTTAAGGTCGGGCAGGGCAAAGCATTTCGTTCAAAATGGATCGCGAAGGGCAAAGACGGCAAATTTGTTGCAGCTGTTGGTCTTCTTTCTACAATGTGGCACAAATTTATTGACTTTATGGATAGCTCGACTCCATAGAAGACAATACTCGGTTACAGCTCCAAACGATACAGCAAACCAAGTCGCATTCTGATCAAAAAGTTATCATGGATTTGAAAAAACGCAAGTTAGTGAGACTGCAAAAAATAACTAGCTTTAGTATTCGAAAGGGTCCGAAATTTGCCTTGCAAATCTTAAAGGAGGAGACAGATCTTACTGCAGACCTGTTGGTATCGTAAGTCAACTCAATGGTAATGTTGATAACACTTTGTAAATTCATGTACAGTGGAGCATGGAAGACGGCGGCATTTAAACCGTATAATTTCAACTCGCTCGGGTCAGTTCAAAATGCCGGGGCTCTACATCCACTGAACAAAGTGCGGCAAGAATTCCGCCAGATCTTCTTTGAGATGGGGTTTGAAGAGATGCCCACTAATCGTTTTGTGGAGACTGGATTCTGGAATTTCGATGCCTTGTTCGTTCCACAACAACATCCTGCACGAGATCTACAAGATACTTTTTACATCTCAGATCCTTTAATTGCCGATAAGCCTCATGCAGAGAGTGTACAAGATAACTCGAACTATGAAGAATATTGGGAGAACATACGTAGTGTTCACCAAGAAGGTAAGTATGGCTCAATAGGTTATAGATATCCCTGGACCGAAGATGAGTCGCTTCGGCTAGTTCTTCGAACTCACACGACAGCAATCTCAACTGCTATGCTTCACAAGCTGGCGGCAATTAAAGGACCTGATGGAAGACCACCTCCGGCCCGATATTTCTCAATCGACCGAGTATTTCGAAACGAAACGGTAGACGCAACCCATCTCGCCGAATTTCACCAGGTTGAGGGTGTGATTGCAGATTACGGACTATCTCTTGGTGGCCTAATGGAATTTATGGAAATATTCTTTGCGAAGATGGGCATACGAGATTTAAAATTCAAGCCAGCTTATAATCCTTACACGGAACCTAGCATGGAGATATTCAGTTTCCACAAAGGTCTTAACAAGCTCGTAGAGATCGGTAATAGTGGAATGTTCCGACCTGAAATGCTAGAACCTATGGGCTTGCCAAAAGATATGCGCGTTTTCGGCTGGGGATTGAGCTTAGAGCGGCCAACAATGATTAAGTACAAGGTACAAGAAACAAAACACTATTTATATGAAGCTTCTAACTGCTAACAGGTGAACAATATCCGAGAGCTGCTAGGTCATAAAGTAGACTTGTCGTTTATAGAAAGGAATCCTGCTGTCCGGCTAGAGAAAGATTAATATTGTCAGAGAAACCTTTCAATCTAGTCATGCTTGGACTACATGCCGCTCTTATAAAGCAAAAAGTAACATAATGGCTCCAAGTCATTGCCTCGTGCAAACTACATTTTGTCACGATGGAGTTAAGGTGGGTTGATAGAAGCGACATCATTTAGTTCACATCAAATAGTAAGGCAATGTTTGCTCTTCAAAGCCTGTAAAGCGGTAACCTTTCTTTTCTAAGCGTAGTAACGTAGGTTTCTATCTGCGTTCTACTCCAGAGCAAACTCAAAACTCGCGGTCGGTTATCGCAGTTACGCATGAGGTGCCTAAATCATCATATCATATAGAGCCGAACTGGATATAAATTAACAAAGATAGAGATAAAATCCATAAGCAGCAGATCACGAGATTGAAAAGCTATTTAAGATTAATCCCACCTACGCTTGCACTTAAATAATAAATTCAAGGTAATCTCTGAGAAATAAAGGTAGGAATTATGACTGAGTTATTTGGAGATGGCTATCGCAATACGGAAAAATGAAAAATTAGTCGAGCATCATGATCACAGCTCACATCCAAATATTTTTGAGACAATCTAAGGGTGTCACCTAACTTGAAACGATTCGAAAATAATACGTTTTATTGAGTCTGATTTTAAAATGGGAGGTTTTGTTTTGTAATCGGCTCGCAGAGATGTCCAAAGCATCTTTACTTAATTTTGGGCAAGAAATCGAAAACTTTCTAGATGCATACTAACGAAAATATATTTCACATATGTTACCAAGTTGATGATGCCTCCAGCCCACCCTCCAAGTGAAAACTCTGCAACCTTCGATCAAAAATCAAGCGCTTGAATCCACCATGCATGTTAATGTAGCTTTCTGTTATAAAATTAGTTCAAGAGTAGATAAGACCGATTGATTCTCTCAAGAAAACCGAAGGAGATCCTCTCGATATCAATCCAAACGTATTCTTGGCCTCGACGTTGTAAGGACCACAACTGATCTCCTATATCTTCCTCGCAGGTGATAAAGTCAAAAAGTGTATCGGATCCGACAAACAATTACTCTGAAATTCTTAGACAAAAGAATTCGCCATTTCCATACTGCTATGTGGGAATTCTGCCCAAGAATAGTGCCGTAAGTTACAAATCTGAAATATATTTTACGTAGGCGAACTTTTCTAAACACCTGTTAGTGGTGTCTCCTACGAACCTTCGGCTCTCACTTTAGAGTCTACAGAGCCGAGATTGAGTGACAGAGTCCTTAATTCGATGAGGATTCCCAATCGCTTATGCGGTCTGTAACGTCTTCATCTCTAAGCACATGTCCCTATTACTACTATCATGAAGCTAACCACCATCAGATCAGATGATAGGTCGGAGCCCTACTCATGACCAACCCCTGATCATGGAGGAAAAGCCATCCGATGAGTTTCCGGAGCGTACCCAGCACCCGATACGACGATGGCGGATTTGATCAAATCGACCTCTAGTATTACAAAGAATGGAGATATAAATGAATATGCGCACCTCATGTGATCCCGGTGTCTAGGTCTCGCCTGGCTGGGGCTGCAGGTTTTTTGAGACTTTTTCCCATGCACGCAGTTTCCATTGCTACCTTTTTTTTTTTTTTTTTTTTTTTTTTTTTTTTTTTTTGGGTAGAAGGTTCCGTGGAAAAGGTGGCCGAATTCCACGGGTAAACACTGAGCTGAGTGGCTATTCATCAAGGTGAATATATCAATGATCTTTCAAGAAACATGAGAGGATAGGAGCACTGTACAAGGTGTGGCCTGGGTCAGAGAGGGGCCCAATGTGCTAGATAGTATATAATGGATTGGATCAAGCTGGCTCTTCATGCTACAAAGAAGGGGAATCTAGATGCACATACTTACTTCGAGTGGTTCCTTCATCTAGGCCTTGCATGGCTAGAGCTGCTTGTTTTTGGTGAATGTTTCCCGCGCAAGTAGTTTCCAGTACTAAATTTTTTTTCTTTTATTTAGATATATTTAAGTGCATGGATGCAAATTAAGGGAATTAAATTAGACAATATCAAAAGGAATTATTTAAATTAAATTTGAAGGGGAATAGCTCATTTATAGAGGAGTTTGGAACTAAAGATTATAAAAGTGTCACAGCTAGATAGCTGAACACATTATGAATTAAACAAAGGGGGTTCTTTTTTTCTAGATAAAAGGTTCCGTGCCAAAGATGGCTGTAATCCACTCATGAATACTGAGCTGAATGGCTATTCATCACGGGCAACATATCGATGATCTTTGAAGTAACAAATGGGGCCAGGAGCACTGTATAAGGTGTGACCTAGATCAGAGAGGAGCCCAATATGCTAGATAGTCTTTGACTCAAGTAGTATAATAAAACATTACATTTATACATTTTGCAGTTTAGGATACTAGGGAGCATCATAAACTCATCGAAAATTGGAGTGTTGTACTCAGCTAAGATGACCCTGGTAGGTAGCATATGGACGGTGGTTTTGAATTTGAAATATTTTGCGTGATAGGAAGAACCTAATATCTATTTAGACGTGGCACGAGTCGATGGGCTCTGAGAGCTCATTACTACCTACATGACCGGCAGTGAAGCCTGAAGCGACAAAATAAAAGGAAAAAAAGTACAATATTAGATTATGATTCCTTTGCATGGATAGAACAGTGTGGCTGGAAGTAGATTCGATAAAGTATAGGGTTGAACAAACGTGTATAATTACTGCAGTCTCAGCATTTCCTAAGAATGCTGCAGCTTAGCTCGTACCAACGTTTCACTAGTAGGCTCAACTACACGCGAATATGGAACTACTGATATAGGGTATATAAGATCTCCAAACGCCATTACCCTTTTACTCTTATGTGAATAATAACCACAACTGTGATGATGATATTTTTATCGTGACCGGGTACTACCCCAGCACCCAGAGGGCATGGCACGGGTAGTCCAGATCTATATGACTCTTCGCTACCTACATCATTGTTTCGTAGAAACCTAGACACACAAAACTAAAACAAATAAAAACACCATTTCTAATGTGCTAGCGCCCTGCGCTACACCTTAATTTTCGTACTACACCGAACGGTCCCAAGAAGCATTATGGTTGACCTTTACATCCCCTGTTCACGATTCAATCTTGCTGTAACACTTTGTTAAAGTTAAAAAACGCCAGAATTTCTGCCATCCTTCTTGCCCTATCATATCCCTGATCGTAGGACGTAATTTCTTCGTTTCCGTCCTCTATTTCTGGAAAGTCGGACGACTCTCTGCAAAATGCCATGGCCACTTTTCTCGGCCACAATTGCAAAGCATTTATTCATTCTGGTGTTGGAACCGTCTATAATGGCTGGCGAAGTCACCATACCCGGTCCTTGCTGCGATGAGGCGGTGATATGCCCATCGAGATAGAGCTAGCTTCGGAGGGCCTTTTCTCCGCATTAGTAGGTCCAGATCTTCATAGCTACTCGATCTGTTCTTAAGCCACCATTCTTCCGCAAGTTTTTGTGCCCGGATGCTGACTTGGCGTTTGATAGCTGCAAAAGTCAGAACTTCGTGAGTTTCCTCCCAGATGCACTCTGGTCCCGGTATGTTTCCATTCCGATTATTTGACGCAAGGATTGCCTTTACCATAGCATCAACCTTTTCGTTTCCCGGAATGCCGCTATGTTCCGGAACCCAGTAAACCTCTATCTATGGTTGAGTCTTGCGTAATTCCCAAAAATTCATGACCTCTACTTGCGAGGAATTTGTTTTGCCATTTTGAAGGGCTCTGACCGCATCTTGATTGTCAAGAAGTACCTTGATATCTGTACTACCTCCAATCACTAACGCTGCCTCTAAGCCTCGTAATGCCCCGATAATTTTCGCATCAAAGACCTCAGCTCTAGAAAGGAAATTTCCACCGCTCGCTATAAGTTTACCGCTCCTATACATGGCGTAGCCATAGGCTGAGTATACTGGTACGGTCAGTGGCCCATCCGAGTAGACACAGAGTGTTCTTGGGGGAAGATCCCTGAGCCAAAACATGATCTGTTTCGCCTTTTCCTCCTTGTCGCATTTGACCCCGGCTATAGCCATCGCGACCCGCAGTTTATAAAGCTGCCCAGGACCTTCAGATTCTGGTAGGTTGAGGTTCTCGTTCTGAAGGCGTGTTAAGTATCGCTCTGGAACCATAAAGGCCCGTCCTTTCTGCCCTTCTCGCAGTTGGAGTCGCTTGGTTGCCTCTTTGGGTGTCTCGACTGCCCTTGACGCGAGTGGATGATAGCTATCAAGCCGGCGGATTCTGGTCGCACTTCGAAGCTGTCGCTGCTGGAGCATTAATTCTGCAGGTGAGATCCCTGATTCTCGGTGCAGAATTATATTTGGTGTGGTCCGCCACACTGAGAGTGCAGCTCGAATTGCAGTCAAAATAGTCCTATCTAGTAGCTGAAGGTGCCATCCGACACCTGTACTTACTTTCTTGTCTCGTTTGGTCGTGATACGAGTCAATCCAGGCCACATGCATTCACCGCATGAATTAATGGTCCCGGAGCCGCACCTCGATGAACTGTTAAGGAATGAGATGTAGATTTGTGTCACGTGACTTCGTGACGTTAACCCGTCACTCATTTTGTATATAGCTTAACAAAACTCAGCAAGGCGTCTTTTGTCTCAGTAGGGACTTAATAGGGTTACTCGCTTGACGCGTGATCCGCCAGACGTTAAATAAAGATAAATAAATAAAAAACTCAGCAAGGGTTCTGTTTGCCCTTTGTAGACAATCTATTCCACCAGATTTGACCTCGTCAATCTATCTTCCTTTACCATGACATGAACCTTGTTTATGCTGCATATGAAGTGGGACAATTGCTGTGCTTTTATACACCATTCCTGAACGTGCTGTCTGAATGATAGTTGAGAATCAAGCCAAACTCCGAGCCATTGGATATGCAGAGAAGACATAATAAGCTGTTCCCCAACTCTAAACGTGTTGATAAATTAGGACTAAGAAGTTTATCTCAGAGTGAAGAAA